CAATAGGGCGCTGGCCAGACCTGACCTCCTTACTTCAGTTGACTTGCTTCTTCCCTTTGGAGGATCCATCGACGCTGAGTCTCCACACCATTCCCAAAGTGCGCTGGCCCCAAGGCTGCTCCCTGGCACTGGCTCTCGGCCCCACTCTCCGGGCAGCCAGTGCCAATTCCTTTGCCAAGATGGCGGCCCAGACGCCTCTGCAAGGTGGCCCTTGTAGATTGTCCCAGAACCAGGGGGGGGGGTCTTCTTCTTTTTGTACATCCCAGGCAATACACAGAGCAATATTCACTCTGTTAAACCAAGGAAGGGTGGCTTGGGTCATAAGCGATCTAGAAACCAGCACCAACATGGTGTCCAAGGGGCCTGGTTGGCGACACCACCCTTTACCAAGATGGCGGCCGGGAGGCTTCCGGCACGCGCTTCCCCCATGGGCTCCAAGATGTCAGAGTCCAGGCGGCTGCCGGCAGAGCAGGAAGGGCGCGCGGCGAGCGGAGAGTGCTGGGGCTGCGGCTGCACGCCAGCTCTCCGGGGCTGGCCGCCGGAGCCGGGGCCGGGGCCGGGTGGAGCTGCGGCCGCCCTGCTCGGTCCGCAGCCGCCCACACTGTCACCTGTGGGGGCGCAAAAGTTACCTCCGCGCGCCGCCCGCCCCGAGTCACCAAACCCCAACACGTGCCACGCGAGGTAGGAGGCTCGGCTGGGCCTCGCTGCCGCCCGCCCGGCCCCGCGGGCTGAGCAAGGGGCTGGGGACTAGGGTCAGCCCGGCGGAGGCCCCTGTTCCCTCCTCTCCTCCGGGACGCGCCACGTGTTTCCCGTGGACCCGGTGTGTGTGTGTGTGTGTGTGTGTGTGTCGGGGAGGGGTGAGCGCGTAACGGGAACGGCTGGAGAGAGTTGCAGGCTGACATTTCCGAGCTGCGCGTGTGAGGGGCAGGGGTCCCCGGCACCAAGCACCCGGCCCGGGGTGGAGGCCGCGGATGTCAAGGCTTCGGGAGAAGGGCCTCCACCCAGGACTTGGGCCGGGCCGGCGGGCGGGCGCGTCTGGAGTTTGGGGATGGCCGGAGGACGCACTTCGCCCACAGTTTTCGTCGGCAACTTGTTTTTAGACCTGCCACCCCCTGCTTCCCTTAAATCATGATTCGAAAGTGCAGAGAAATCCAGCCCGCCCGAGGTCTTTGCTTTTGGCTCGCAACTTCCTCTGAGTGTGAGCGCGCGGGGAGGGAGCGAGGGAGGGAGAGAGCGAGCGAGGGCGGAGGGAGGGAGGGGTGGGGGTTGAACTTGGCAGTCGGCGCCTCCTTCTGCCGCCGCCGCCGCCGCTCCGCGAGTCGGGGAGGAGGGTGGGGGAGGGCCGGGGCGCGGGGGAGGGCGGTTCTGCTTTGCAACTTCTCTCCGGCTGTGAGAGCGCGGCGGCTGCACACCGGGCGGCCGGGAGGATGCGGGGGTGGGGGACCCGGCGGCACGCGTCTCCCCGGGGCCGACAGTACGTATGCGCCGACCCCCTCCCCAGCACCCCCCCCTCCCGATCCGGCCTCCCCCCCCCGAGGGCGTGTCTGCTGTGTGCGCGGCGGCACGGTTTCCGAGCTATCCGGTCGCCCCTCCGGTAGTGACACACTTCGTGCAACTCGGCCGGGGGCCCGAGGTGCGGACCACCCCAGCGGCTCCCGCTGCGGACCGCACCCCCGCTGCCCTCCTACCCCGGCCCGCCCCTGCTGTCACCCGCAGGGGCGCCCGCGGCGCCGGCCGCCGGAGGACTGGGCGCGTTCTCGAGTGGGTCGGGAGCCGAGGAGCGGGGCGGGGGCGGAGAGGACACGGCCAGAAGAGAAACTAAAGAAACTCGGTCGTCCTCCCCGAGCCCGCCCCGCGACGCCAGGTCGGGCCCCGCGGCCGCCGCCTCACTTTCTTTTTCCTTGGGGTGGGGTGGGTGGAGAAGCCCCGCGCGCCCGGAGCGGTGGCCACGGGCCTCCCGGGCACCGGCAATGCCCGGGGAAGTGCGAACGTGCCGATGCCGTCTGGGCTCGGGGAGCCGGGGTGGCGGGGTCCGTGCAGAGGGCGTGGGGGGCGAGGGCTGCGGGCGCCCCTGCAGTTGCCCAGCGTCGCCAACAGGTTGCACCGTTCCCCGCGGCCGCGGCGCGGCCCCTCGGGCGGGGAGCGGCCGGGGGTGGAGTGGGAGCGCGCGCACGCGTGAGAGAGAGAGTGTGTGTGTGTGTGTGTGTGTGTGTGTGTGTGTGCGTGCGCGCGCGGGTGAGTGCGCGTCGTGGCGCCGCCTCCGCCCGCCCCCCCCCTCCCGGCTCGGTCCCGCTCGCTTGCCGCGGCCCGGCAGCCCTTTTCGCGTGTCCGCGCTCCCCTCCCCTCCCCTCCTCGCCTCCTCCTCCATTTTGCAAGCTCGAGTCTGTGCCTGGAGCCCGAGTCGCGCCGCCCGCCCGTCGGGGACGGATTCTAGTGGGTGGAAGGAGACGCCAGAGCGGCCGGAGCGGCGCCGCGCGGGGACGGGGGAGACGCGCACTCTGGAGCCTGGAGCCTTGGAGACGAGAGCGGGCGCGGGGATCTGGCTTGTCAGCGGGGAAATGGGAGACTTTCTGAAATAGGGGCGCCCCCCCCCCGCCCTCGCCCATGGAGAAAGGGACGGCTGTTTACTTCTATTTCTTTGGATATTTCCCTCCCCGCTTTCACACGCGAAGTTGTTTGTCTGGGCTGCGGTGGGAGCCGCGGACGGTGGCGGGCGGGCCAGCGAGCGGCGCCCCAGCCAGAGGTAAGACAGGCGGGGGGCCGAGCGGGTGGGGGGCCGGGGCCGGCGCGGGCGCGCGCGCGCTCCCCCGAGGTGCCGCGGGGGACGGGGTCGGGGGCCGCCGCCGGAGTCCGCAAACTTTTAGGAGCCTCGGGGAGTGAGGGTGGAGGCTGGCCAGGGCCGGGGGACGGTGACGAAAGGTCAGCGCGCGGGTGACAGCGCTGGCCGCTTCCTCTCCCTCCGCTGCCGAGCCCTGGCCGGGCCCGCAAGGGGAGGAACTGGAGCCCGGACTGCCAGTGGAGAGGAGTCGGGCCCCCGTGGCCTACGGGGGGTTCCTGGGAGGGAATCGAGGTCGTTTCTCCTCCTTCCCTCCGAGGGGGCCGCCCAGACTCCCCGTTTTTGGGGTGGACACTACGCTCTGTCTGGACGTGAGCGGGGGTGGGGGCCGTGGTGCGCCCGAGCGCCCCGGGCTGGTCCCGGGCTGGTCCCGGGCGAGGCGCGCCTAGGAGGTGGCGGCGGGTGCGGGGATCACACGCTCGCCAGGCGGGGGGCTGACAGCCGCCACCCGCGCGCGGACTTGGGCCAGGGCTGGCGTTATCTGCTCGAAGTGGGCGTGTCGGAGAGAGCTCAACAGGTCTGGACGCATTTCTCTCTAATCTCGCACTTTTGCCTCCCCTGCGCCCCCCTTCCCACGCCCCGGGCTGCTGCTTCAGTGTTTGGCGTGGTTTCGTGCCTGGCTTTTTCTAAAGAAATAGACCCTCCATCGCCAGAGGAGTTTCGTGCAGCGAATTCTGACCAGTGGCTGTTTGACGTCTGAGGTTGCAGGCTTGATCACTCCAAAACCCTTGGCATGAATCAGTAGGGTTTACCGATGTGACAGGGGTGTTTGCCTTAGAAACTGGGGACGACCTGGCTTGAGTGGAGCGGTTCGTTTTATGAAGTATTCTTATGGTTTGGGGCTTGAAATTCATTAGGCTCTGTTGAACACCTGTGTTTGAGATAAATCCTTATCAGATAAACTCCACAGGGAGGCGGGGAGATAGTGTACCCCGGTGGCAGGTCCCCACCCCTTTTCCCCTTCTATCACACCCCTCTTCAGTGGGGGCCATGAGGTTTCTAAGTGCTCTGGTGCAGGGGGAAAAAAGTTTCATTTTATTGGGTGGGGTTTGACAGTAATGTCCCAGATGTGCTTACCGAGGTCTTTGATGGCCTCTTAAAACATCCTGATTATTAATGCATTCGCAGCCAGCCTTGAAAATAGGCTTGGAAGAATAGGTGCATATATAGAATTGAACCCAGAATTGTTCTGATCATTTTAACGGACATTGTTTTATCTGGACTTACATGAATGTGGTTTTAATCATTCTGGACTTTTCTAGTACGGTACATTGATACTTGCAAAGGAAAAAAAAATCTTAATTTAGAGATAGGATAGTATTTCACACTGAAAGTCTTAAAGAATCTTTAAGAAAGCAATATAGCCTACCTGTTAGTCTACATCCACCTAGGTAGTATTGAGAGGTATGATAAGGGCCAATCACTTTACCGTACTACGAAAACTTAGTGACAGGCTGCTATGCTTTGCAGTTTAGTTACCCTGGATACAATGTGTCTCACTTCCTGCAAGCAAAATTTGAAGGTGGACACTATTGGCAATATAGGCAGAAATGTCCGTTAACAATCAGAACCTTTCTCCAGCCATTAGTAGATAAGCAAATCAGCACTGTTTATTTTTCAAATAAAATGCACCTGGTTCACCGGTAGGTTATATTAAAAGGGTTGAGTGTGTGACCAGTTAGTTGGTAGGAGGTGAACCTGGGAATAATTAGGGATAGAAAATTCTGGAGAAGTATTTATTAAATGTTAAAAGTATTGGTTCTCAGAAAAACAAACAGCCTTAACAGAAAAGAGGTTTTTAATGGTCACACTTCTTTAAAAAAAATTAAATACTTTGACATCAACTTGAACCTTTACCATAATTGTATGTAATGAATTATGTCTGATTAACAAAGCTACACAGTTCAGTGAGTGAGTTGCAGGAAGAAGAACCAAGCTTAGTTGTGTACAGTTCTGTTCTCTGTCCAGATGGACTACATTGTGCTTTTAAATGTGGCACACAGAATGGGAGCAGGGCATGTGGCATTTGATTCAAGAAGATACGAAGTTTTGGTGACAAAGAACAGGGGTTCGAGGTTAACTAGAAGGTTCAGGTCACAGAGGTAATGTGACTTTATAGCTTATTATGTCCTCCCCCCCCCCCTTTTTTTTCTTTCTGTTGTAGCTGATACTCACTGATGGACTCCAAAGAATCGTTAGCTCCCCCCAGCAAAGAAGTCCCTAGCAGTGTACTTGGCTCTGACAGGGGAAATGTGATGGACTTCTATAAAACCTTAAGGGGAGGAGCCACTGTAAAGGTTTCTGCATCTTCGCCCTCACTGGCTACTGCTTCTCCGACAGACTCCAAGCAGCAAAGACATTTGGTTGATTTCCCAAAGGGTTCAGCAAGCAATGCGCAGCAGCCAGATTTGTCCAAAGCCGTTTCTCTCTCCATGGGACTGTATATGGGAGAAACAGAAACAAAAGTGATGGGGAACGACCTGGGATTCCCACAACAGGGCCAAATCAGCCTTTCCTCTGGGGAAACGGACTTTCGGCTTCTGGAAGAAAGTATCGCAAACCTAAATAAATCGACCAGTGTTCCAGAGAACCCCAAGAGTTCCGCATCTGCTTCAGTACCTGCTGCCCCCTCAGAGAAGGAGTTCCCCAAAACTCACCCTGAAGTGTGTTCAGAACAGCTCAACCTAAAAAGCCAGCCCGGAACCAACGGAACCAACGGTGGGAATGTGAAGTTGTATACCACAGACCAAAGCACCTTTGATATTTTGCAGGATTTGGAATTTCCTTCTGGATCCCCAGGTAAAGAGACAAATGAGAGTCCTTGGAGATCAGACTTGTTGATAGATGAAAACTGTTTGCTTTCTCCATTGGCAGGAGAGGATGATCCATTCCCTTTGGAAGGAGATGTGAGTGAGGACTGCAAGCCTCTCATTTTACCGGACACTAAGCCTAAAATTAAAGATAATGGAGATATAATCTTATCAAGCCCCAGCAGCGTACCACTGCCCCAAGTAAAAACAGAGAAAGAAGATTTCATTGAACTCTGCACCCCTGGGGTAATTAAGCAAGAGAAACTGGGCCCAGTTTACTGTCAGGCAAGCTTTTCTGGGGCAAATATAATTGGTAATAAAATGTCTGCCATTTCTGTTCATGGTGTGAGTACCTCTGGGGGACAGATGTACCACTACGACATGAATACAGCATCCATTTCTCAGCAGCAGGATCAGAAGCCTATTTTTAATGTCATTCCACCAATTCCTGTTGGTTCAGAAAATTGGAATAGGTGCCAAGGATCTGGAGATGACAACCTGACTTCCTTGGGGACTATGAACTTCCCTGGCCGGTCGGTTTTTTCTAATGGCTATTCAAGGTAAGATAAATGCTTTTCTACTTTTTCAGAATGATATGTTTAAGAAGGTTGATAAATTTGAAAACTCATTTGTATATGTTTTCCAAAGTTTATGTGCTTTTGCAAATGAATAAATTTAAATGGTAGACCACCTAAATGACTAATCTGTACATAATCACTTTAGGTTTTTATCTTACATAGTGATACTCGGCATCTCACTGGTCATTACTGAAAATTTTATTTGAAATCTTTTGCTCAGTAAGAAGTATCCTAAGTAAAAAAATTACATAAAGTCAAATGAGCCAATGACTTATATACTGTACTTATACTGTCCATATTCATTTAGCTGTTTTAGAATATGCTTTCATTAGAAAATTCCCATACTACTTGCATAATCCAAGCTGTGCTATATTTGTACTTTGCTGGAGTGTTATTATGGATATTAAAGGGTTAAAATTTAGAAGTGATGTCAATTCTTCAAGTTGAACCTTCTGAGTTTTGAAATTGCTAAACAATGCAGTGAACAGTACATCAGACTACAATATTAGACTTGAGTCTTATTTTCAAGACTCTGACTTAAACTAGACAAGTTGTGTCTGGTCATGAGTCCCTTTAAGAAAGGAACTAACTGGTGGCTGTATGATACAATAGAAAACCCTTCTTCCATATGTCCCTTCAGGTTCTCAAGTAGATAACAATTGATGGCTAAAATTGTTAAGTATCAATTCTCACCTACCAGCTGTTTCTTTATTCTTAGTCAAAGTACACTAACATTTTTGTCCTACTTTTAAAAAGCCCATTAAAATGGAATTAATAAAAGCAAGTTCAAATCTAGATATATGTGTTGGTAGGGCTTTGGTTCTCAACCAAATACTAGGTTGTTTATCCCTTTTGGCTGTGAAGGACTATATAAAAGTGTGGATAGTAATGACACTATTGATTATCAGTGGGTTTTTAAAAAAAGGTGTAATCGTTATTATTTGTACGTAGCTCTTCAAACTGTTTTCCTATATGTTAGTGATATTCATTGTTCCTACGTAACTGTCATTTAGGATTTTATTTAAAAATTCTTCATCTAGGAAGGGTGTCCTAATACTGAATTGAAAAACAGTGTCATTCCTTTCTGTATAGGAAGCATTTTAAATTAGGAAAAGTGTAGACTTAGGTTTAGATTATGGTCTGCTCTTCTGAGTGACTTAGTTATTTCTTATCAAGGGGGGAAAATACCTTTGTTATTAAGTGTCTTAATGCAGATTACTACTACTAATCCATTATTTTATAAAATAATTATATTTTATTTAGAAAAACTTCAATGTTTTGTCATCTTTCTGAAATAAGGGTTTAAAGTGTTTCCAGTAGGGAAATTGAGTTGTCTCTAATTGCATATACTGTTGGTTTCACATGTTAAAAGCATGCTATGTTTTACATTTTCCAATCTCAATATTTTGGACAATGGATTTCATATGTTTGATTTTCTTAAAGAGCAAGTACAGTTGATTTAACCAAATTATCTGTAGTAAACTGCTAAATTGATTTATAACACACGTAGTCACATAAAGCTAAATAATATACTTAGGAAATTCTTTGTCCTGATAGTGATCACAGTATTGTTTTCATTTTATTACTATAAGAAAAACTCATGAACAAAGCTTAATTTCCACTTACTATTGACTTTAAGCCTTATAAAACCTGGGATATGCAGAAGGTATAGCTTAACCTTTAACCACAGTTACCTTTAAATCATTAAAGATAATTTTAAGGCTTTAACTTATGTCGTTACTTTCTGACAACAAGTGTCTATATATCTAGTTTCAGCTTCCTTCCAACCTTTTAGAGATAGACAAAGTTATGATGATACAGCTCTTTAAATGCTTCAATATCCACAAATGATTAATTTTATGCCGATATATGATTTGGAATTATAATCATTAGTCTGTGTCCCAACAAAAAGGCATAATACTGTAATACTGGATAATTTGATAATGTTCGAACAATTTATACCATCTAGCATTTGCAAGGAAACTGTGATTATCCAGAACAAAGCTTTACCCAAAGACATTGAAACAATGTTTCTTTTCTAACCTTACAGAATTAGGCTATTGTTTCCAAACAACAGCCTTGATATAAGTAAAATTGGCTGCCTTCTCTCTGTTACACAGCTCTAGCCAAACATTAGCTAAGACCAGTTTTCCTGAGTGTCAGCGGCTAAATCCACACATGATCGAATACTGACTTTCTGACTTTAAATATAAAAATAGTAAATGCCATGGATGACTTCACTTGCAGTTCTTGCTTAAAAAAAAATAACATTAATTGTAATATGACTTTATAAACTGCCCTTAAGATTGTCTTTTCTTCTAGAATACTTAAAAATATACTTTATATTTTGTTTGGAGGCAAATGTAATTCCTTCAGATGTGTTACTGCACCACATCGAGTTAGAATATTAAATTGTAAAACTGAATATTATGATTGAGCATAAAATGCATTTTATTTTTAAGGTTTGAGCTCATTGATAGTAAAACCAGGGAAGCTTTATTAAAGGCAATTTGAGTAAAATGAACTTGTCATTCTAATTAATATTCTTTTTTAAATACTAAAATTCTGTAACTTGAACATAAAAACAACATTGATAAAGGCACATTTCTGCATAATTTGATTTTCAACATGGTTTCACCTCAGTAGTAATGGTGAAACTGCCAAAAAGAAAGCACAGAGAAGCTTTTAGATGAAATGAGAGCTTTTACATTGGGATAATGTTGAAATGTTAGTAAAATGTTTGTTTCCTGCAAGGTAAGATTATTAGAGAGAAAGCATGATGCAAGATGAATTTACAAATTCAGAGTTAGGGGGAGTCCAAGGCACTGGTGATTGGCATTACTGAATACTAAAACTTAGGTATATTTCAGTGTCTCAATAGTAACCATATCTGTGTTTAATATTATAAAGGTAATGAAATTGAAGACCTGTGCAAACACAAGATGAAAGTGGATTCTGTCCCTTTCTTGTTTTTCTTATATGTTGGGTATTTTCTGAAAAAGGGAGAAAGCATAAACGAAAGGAAGGAATAATTTACCTTCTTTTTGATGCATACTTTCAATTAAAGTTCTTATGCTTCTTTCCAAAGGTTTTGACAATGAGTGTGTACAATGTCCTTTTGCCTAGTATTTCTATATGGTTTTGAATACACACATACGCGTGCACGCACACACACACACACATACACACACACACACACACACACATACACAGAGTTACTATTGCCTTTATGAAAGAATCTTTTCTTAAAAGCAAAAAGAAAAAAAAAACGGTAGCTTGTTAGGGCTGGATAGTTGATTTAAAAAAATACAGCTCAAAAAACATGTATTCAAGGTGTGTCAATTTAGATTGGAATGACTAACATAGAAATATGTGATAAACATTTAGTCAGATTTTATTGAAATTCTTGTATTTCTTTGGCTAATATCTGTACAGTTTTATAACTGATAACATAGTTTTTATTCATAATGTTGTTTTTGTATATTTGTGTTATAGTTAGGCCATTTCCATGTTACTGAATCCTTATAACTATTATGAAAGACTCAACTATACTTTGTATGAATATACATTAAATACAAATGGTATTGCTAATGAAATGAATGTGTGGGTATAGATCACATTTGGGGTGCTGTGAGATTTTAGTGAAGGAGACACTGGACTGAAATGCTTTACTTTAGCCAAATGCTAAGGGCACTCGGCTGCATTAATTGGTTAGTTATATAAGTCTTAATCCACTCTGGCTTGCAGGTAATAGAAAAAGCCTAATTATGCTTAATTCATATTACATTTACATATACATATTCATATTACATATTACATATCTTAATTCATATTACATTTACGATAGTCTGTAGCATAATTTTTAAAACACATTTGTAATGATTATTCCTACATTTAATTAGCAATGAGTTCTTACATTCTATTGTGTGAGCAAATTAAATAGGTTTGTGCTGAATACATTTTATTTTCTGAGGCTATCTTGGTAATATTTTCATCAAAAAGTAATTGGCTAGTACAGTATCTATAGATTTTTGTCAAATTAGTGAATAAGCACTTGGCTTCATATTTTTAAGTCATGTAAACTATGTACTAGTGAATCTTGTTGCATAAAGAGTTTTCAAAAAGTCATTCATTGAATTAAGCTTTAACTCAAAAGCTTTTACACAGGGATGCAGGCATTTCTTATTTCTGTAGCTCCAAGGAGTCAACTAATCTCATTTTGCCCTAGAATATTCTCAGATTTGTATTTTGAAGGAAATCAAAGGAGAACTTTCATTTTTTAAAGAACATCATGAAATGTCCCCTGCATGATGTGTTGATTCATGAATTGTGTCCCCTTCATAAATTGTGTTGATTTCTGTGTCAGATTACAGGGTGACATATAAGGGTAACTTTTCCATTGTATGTATTAAACAGTTTGATAACATATCAAATTTTGTAAACAGCGGTTTTAATCCCAGTGGGGATAGGCGAAGAGGTTCAGAAACCATTTGAATCAATAGTTAATGAACTTAGAGGTTTCAGAATGGGGAAATATAAGTCTGCTCCTAAAGAGAGTGCAGCAGTCAGGATTGCAAACATTTCTTTCACTTCAGGTGGGAATCTTAAACTAATTGTGATAATGTAACCCTAATTTATCTATAGAGTTGTTGTCTCTTAGTATGTTTTATTGCCAAGACAATTTTATTTCCTGTTATTTTGCTACAATTAAGCTTATATTTGTCTAATTTTTCTTTAGATTATTTAGTGAAAATACAATGACTTGAATGTAGTTTAAATAATGATCTGGTATTGCTATAACCATTCTATATTTCATAGTATTCTTTTACAAATACTTAAATATTTTGTCTATTGACCATGAAGTACAACTCTTTTCTTCTGGTCATGTAGTTCCATGGGTTATATATTTCTTTGCTGAAATTTAGAGGAAATTAATTTGGGAAGGGTACTAGGGTTTGAACTCAGGATTTTGTACTTGCTAA